TATATATATATATATATATATATATATATATAGTGTTGAAGAACATTGGTAAAACAAGGGAAGGCCTGATTTCAGATGGGAAAATAGGCTTCTTCATGACTGATCGTTAGTTACACACCACAGGTAGTGAGGAAAAGGTAATAAACATCTTATCACCAAAAATAATCCAAGGACAGTGGTCTACTGCAGCTAATAAAGGAACCTCTCATGGAACTGTAAACAAATGAAATGTTCCCATGTTTAAAATATCAATATATAATGAAACTAACAAAAGGAGATCCTTTACCCACGATAAGCTATGCAAATTTAGGTTTACATAAGTTACACTAAAGTCATGTTCACAAGCTTCTTCCTAAACACATACTGAAAAGAAATTAACTATTGAAAGTTAAACAAGAGGTATCTTAATATGTGTGTAGTTGAGTGACTACAAAACAAATTAAAAATAATTTATTATCATCCTGCTGGTGATACAACATTTAAAAAGTGTTAAAGTGCATACAAAGGTTTTTCCAATAGATCTATAGAGGACATAGGTTATGGCTATAATGATAAGTTAAACATTAAGAGAATAGCAAAGTGTACCCTATACATTATCAAGTTAATGTGTTGCCACCAGCATACTGTAAGGAAGTATTATCTTTGTATGAAGTGGATGCCAATAAAGATATGGCTCCATCAAGACAAAATATTCAGCCGTACATCCAAGTCAAAAAGTTAGTTTTTCTACATAGGGTTTTCACAATTAGTGGAAAAAAAAATCTAATGACTTTTCCAAGACCACCAGTCTCAATTTTCCAAGACTAACTAATGTAGTTTCACTAATGATTTGACATGAATCTTTAACTACTATTAGAACATATTTCTGGGAGTTTCTGTTAAATACAGTATTTATTGAAATAAAACCAACATGACCTCTGGGTCACTTAATGGACTTTTGGGAGTCATTTACTACACAGTGCTTTGGAAAGCATGTAAAAAGGAATGGAACAGAATTAACTTATATATATTGTGTAAAAGTCTCCAGCAGGAGGAATTGTGTTGCAGAATAACAGTCCTCAACCAAGCCCATCACAATAAAGAGTACAAGTTTGTTTTTAAAATAGCTTTAATTGATTTTTGGATCAGCCATAAAAAAAAAAAAATCACTTAAGTCAGTTGTCTACCTTATAGGTACATCATTAAGAAACTAGCAGAAAACCTACCCTATGAGCAGCTATTTGTGCTAGTAATTACAAATCTTAGTATTCATACGTCACTGAAATGTTTTTTGAAAAAAAGCAAATATTTTCAAAAAAAAGAGGATTTTTCTAGGAAGTGCTGCACGGGAAAAATGTTCAGATTGTGCCGATATAAACTGTAATGTTTTTATACATTAAAAGTGTTATCCTTTATTGAAAAAAAAAAAAGTTCTTTTGAGAAGTCCATTTCTTTTAGTACTCTACTTACAAATTACATCAATAAAGATATAATCAAACCCTCGTGTACAGTCCTAGAGAAAGTCGTGATCTTGTTGTGAGGAGAGTACTTTCGCTTAAAATAGTGTTCTGTGATAAAGAAATGGTTGTTGCACATACTAGTTATTTTTCTGTCTGAATCTTGATACCTAAAGTGAGAATTTTTTTTATGGATTTTTGTTTGTGGTGCCATTTAATAGATGGCGCCACATTGTATTTATTATTTGGTCATGTTTAGAGGTACATACATACACACTATGTCCATTATACTAAGATGTATTGTAGGTAAACAACAAAAAAGAAGAAAAAACTACTTCACTCATAATAAATTAATATTTCTTCAATTAAAAATTTACTCACACATAAATAAACAAGCAATAGGAACTTACACTGATACTGAGGCATCCCCGAGTAGGCCTGTGCAAAGGGATCTATATTTGGACCATTTGTTACCATACCAGATCTATTTCCCATACTGTAAACAAAAAAAAAAAAGAAAATCTAGCAATCAACATTTCTTTCACTTTTCATCTATGAATTTCAATGAAATCCTTTTGCTGTTTAGGATGAGCTAAAAAGTCACTTCTAAAATAGCTTATAAAAACAGAAAACCTCATTCATAATGAGCATTTTTAGTACATTTTCCAACTGCACAACTCCTAAAACTTAATTTAGCTAATTTATGTATGAAAAACAACAAAAAAACAATAAAAAAAAAGTTTCCCATTGCTTTAAATGGGCTATCTATGCTGTGCCCACTACAGGTATTGATACTGGTTTCTAGAATTATAAGTCTGCACATTTACCGCTGTGCCACTGGGATGCATAGTGTAGGACTATATCAGATGTGTCTGTAAAATTAGAGCATACTAAAAAGTAGAGATACAATGTCTATCTGCTAGATTTAACCTCCAAATAAAAAATACAATCCTCATCTTTTTTTCAAAAAGAAAATATTACAGAAAAATTAATCTCACAATGTCTCCACCTGTACCACCCTTCACTGTCTGCAGCCAGCTGTGAGAAGGTGGTTGCTCCTTAAAATTTTTTAATATTCTTTGACATTAACAATAAAACAGCTCACTGAGAATGATAAGAAAAATCTTATCACCTGAAGTTGGCCTTCCAGCCCTCAGTATGTTAACTAAAAAGCAGTAATTTACCTCGAGGAAGTAAACTGGCAGTAGCAATTTAACCTACTGTTCTCAGTAACTCTGTCCTCCTCCCATGCTGGATTACAGCTTATTAAACAAACCTTCCTTGCAAAAAATAAAAAATAAGCTAGCGAGATATTGCCTTCAAGCAACTAGCTACAGACAATGTCAGGTGGTATGAGTGTGAGACTTTGTATGTTGTATGTTTCATACATAAGTTGTCCTTAAGTTTAAATTCTTTGAATAAGATAACGACTACATATTTTTAATCACCTCTGTGAAGAATTGTTACAGGAAATGCAGCGATTCATTGCATAAACGTATGAATACTTTCTACTTTGCAATGAAAACTGAATGTTTTACAACACAGTTCTGCAGCTTTAGTCTGAACCTTTTAGTGGAATATTTTGTAACACAGATCCATTATGCTAGTGCTGAGAGCAAACAATTCCAAAACACTAAATATCAACAATTAATTTATCTTTGCTTAAGGATAAATATTTACAAGCTACTTGTTTTATGCTATTTGATAATGGTTTCATTTCTTTTATACCAATTCAGGGTGCAGCATCAATAGGAACCTCCTTAAGGAAATTTTCATTATCAATATTTGTTTCAAAATAATCTCTCTAATCCATGTTTGACAATATAAGTAGTCTAACTATACAGTAACATCCTGATTTTATCGTTCTACATAATAAAACTTACCTATTCATACCAGACAAATTCTCCATGTTGGAAAGGGAGTTTGAAGTAATCCCCATGGCCATGTTAGGACTCATAGAATTCATACCACTGAATGAAGAGTTGGCACTGGACATGTTCCCTGATACACCACCTGAGGTAAAATTGAAAGTATACACATTATTTTAAATATAATCAAAATATTACTAGATGTTTTAAGATAAATTTAAAATACAAAAGGTAAAATTAGTTTTTCTAAGTTATTTACAGAATTTGACAGTTGAAACATATAAAATATTATCTTTAAATATTTAGAGTCAAAACTAATTACAACATGCAAGATAAAGAGTTTAGTAAAGGTTACTGTATATTGACGAGTACAGGTTAATATAAAAGGTAAGGGATATATACAAAAATAAACAGGTAAAAAGAGAAGTTGAAAAAGATTTATTGCTCCTAAATACCACATGAATGAAATTAAAATACTGGAATATGTGTACGAAGTTTCATATATACATGTGTTTAATGGTTTACATAGCTAGAAGATGGGAAATGTGAAAATCAATTGTTTGTTGTGAGGTACAGAAACTAATGAACTATATAGTGTGAAAAATACATTACTTGTATATACTCATTAAATTATGCTTAAACATCTTAGAAATGAATGGACTGTGAACAGTCTTATAAGTTACTATTTATAAGTGTTTTGATCTCTTTCTATTGTATACATATAATCTAGGTGGCTTGTTTGCTTTAAGTTCAAAATCTTCAGCATCAGTTATAATAAAGTTAAATACTATTACAAGGATGATCACAATGCAGTTTTAGACAATATTAAAAAAATTCCCATTGTTCCAATTATTAAAAACTATAAAAATCTCACAAATTTAATAATTTATGTGCAGCTTTATAAACAATTTTAGTTTCAATAGTATATAAGTGTGTAAGTCATGCTTGATTCATACATGCAAGATGTCCCACGGCTACTGTTATTATGAAACAATAATATGTTCCAAGTACGTTTACAAATGTGGTGAATATACAACTTTTATCATTGTTCATTACTGGAGTTGTAACTGAAGGCTTTGCAACATGTCATTCTCAGCAGGTAGATGAGACACTTCAAATCATGTCTAATTTATAATATGAAGCTTTATGGCTAAATATGAGGTTTATTAATGTAATAGAAGCAAGACATGGCTACTTTTCAGATATTTGATTGATACATTTGACAGGGTATATAGTAGATGAGTGAACATCAGTTAATTAAAGGACTAAAAAAAAGTGTTATTACAGTCTATGTATTACCATATGAATGTCATTATTAACTCACACTTAAGGTTATTAAAATTCAACATCACTATTACTATTATTAAAAAAGTAATTCATCAATTTAGGGAACTTGCAAGTATGGAAACCTATTTTACATATTTCTTCCAGTTTATCAGGAAATACTATTGAGTTGTGAATCTATTTGCAAAGCGACAACCCAAGTGTGTGAAGTTCACCAGTACTAAGAAAGGTAGAATTAATATTTTAGAATATTTATAAATGAAAGCAGGAAAGATGATAGTCACTTAGCTTGTGGATAAACAAATGATAAGACTTCGCCAGAAAACATTAAAACAATACATTTTTGAATAACTGTAAAATCTACCATTTTTTTACCAACAAATAAAATTTAAATGACTTAGTATTACTGATTAATTCAAAATTAGTAACTATTTTTTTTTACTGCAAAATGTTACAAATTTGTGCTACCTTTCAGAATAAAAATCCCCTCTTCCAAAACTCTGAATAGTGTGCAAGCCTATATATAGTGTTTGTAAAAATTTAAAACTGTAATGAAATAAATACTAAGTATGATTATGTTAGTTAGACTGAATCAGAAAAAGTTATGGTAATTATATTCTATATTTCTTATTGGGATTAACATTTGAATGAACATAACTGTGGTCTTGAAATTAGGAAAACTGGAAGTTGAGTGTGAAATAGAGAATTCCATAGCTTACTGTTACACATCTATCAAATCTCACAGTTGTTCATGGAGTCTCCCTGATATCATACCTGTTTCAAGATATTATGGCTGTGAGAAATATTCTCCTGTAAGTTAAAAGCATAACCCATTAAAGTGATCTATTATTTCTGTTTATTTTAATTATTCAAAGCCATCCAACCATGACTGTAATAGACCTACTAAAATATCTACATCAGGTTGCTTGTTCCCACCAAAGTGTACTGATGTCTGGACCAGCAGATAAACCTTGTACAGATGCAAGTCAGGTTCTGATTGGAGCATTTCCATATGAAAACCAAGTATTTCCTTGGTAACAGATTTTTACGAATGCACGATGCGAGCAAAATATTTGGTATTCCCTAAGAAAATCGAGACCATTTTTATTGTAGGACATTGAAAGTGACAATGATTGCTCAAAGCCAGATGGCTAATTTTGTCAGGTCTTTGTTTATCTATTTATTATTTATTTTTTTAAATAAAAAAAGCCCTCATTTGGTTTAGAACTTATAAGCACACAAATAAATTCTGTGCAAGCATTAGTAAAATTCAATAACAGCCATTTCACTAGAAATAATCTAAAAAACAGTTTAGATCAAAAAGAGGCCCAGAATAAGTATCTAATTTTATGACGTTTAAAATGAGCAGAACATACTTTTCTTTTAACCCTTTGGCTACCGCATCCTTACATCATAAGGATTTAATGTAACTGATTATATTTTATTCCAAATATATAACTAGTAGATGAAATTGTTACATGACAGGAACTTTCTTAAAGGCATGTAGTTTCAGAAAAATACTTAATTTTTTCTACTAAAAATTTATTATTTATTGTAGTTATTTGCAATCAGACTGAATAGTTCAAATGCAAATGTTTTTATTTTATTTTTCATTTACTCTATCATATAACTAACTGTAACTATTATCAACAAAGTACAGTACAATAAAACGTAAATTTAAGAAATAGAAATATGTACGTACATTTTAACTCTTCCTCGAATAACCTTAAAATATCTTCCTTTGGTTTTATTTGTAATTTCACACCTTTACCTTTTCACTTAGTTTATTTTTAATGTTTTATTTTCCTTTCCTCTCCTTTATCATTTATTATTCATCTGAACACACGTTAACAGGTGTCCTCAGATCATATTACGCAGACCTGCCTACTCATAAAGTTGGTTCTCAGTAGTATTCTCCTATCAACTGGTCAATTTTCTGTAGCGAAAACGAATTTGTTAGTAGCACAGATACCACCCTTCTAACTAGCACAGAGGCAAGGCCACAACTCAATGTATTCCTTTCTGAAAATCTGATTAGCTGTCCTCACCACCTTTTTTGTGTCATGATTGCTTTTTCCCCAGAGACACTCAATAGCCAGTGGCTTCCTTCCTGTGGAAAGTACATGCATGCACAATAGAGAGACAGGGCTTATAGGTAGTTGTGCATGGAGGACTACAAGAGAACAGAAGAGTGAATGAACCAAGTACATTGTACAACCCTATAGTCGCTATAGCTAATTCAAAATACCATAGTCATAGCTGGAAAGCATTTTACGAGCAATTATAGAGAACTCGTAGCAGTAGGCAGGTCTGACTATGGTATCTTTGGTAGAGATATGCAAGCCTTCATCTAAATGTTTTTGCATTCATGTAGTAAGTTAACACTCAAGAACTAAGGCAAAATTTGTGTTATATTAAAAAAAACATTTTTTAAAACATAAATAAAGGAATTAAAACTTCAATACAAAACTTTCAATTGTAACAAACACGATAAAACTAATTTCATTAACATACATTGATTGTAAAGTTGTTTAATTAAATTTTGAATGTAACTCAGAAAAATTTTGTGACATGTGCACAGAAAGGAGTTGTCAAAGGGTTAAGTGTCTAAAACAGTTTATTTTTCAAGGTGCAATTTTCAAAATTTTTTAACCTCTCTTGTGCACCCATGCCTAACAAGCTTTTCTCATATGACCTACTCCCTCAATGAATCTCCTAAAAATGTTCTTCCTAGTTTGTCAGTTCTGTTATAAGCATTAATATAAATTTACACGTACAAATACTTGACGTATTGCATTAGTAAAATGTACCAAAGAACAGGAAATACCTTAATTCAGCCTATAAGTTATATTAACAGAATCATTATATCACATGTTCAAGAATAATTAAATCATAAAATGGTTAACCTTTCCATTATGGGCTGGGTGGATTCCACCCAGCTCGTAACTACGAAAGTATCCATGAGAGTAATTATACTATGATTTTTGATAATGTATGCACGTCTCTACAAAATTTTGCAGGTTATTGGTAAACATTACAAGGTTTATGTACACAAAATATCTTAAGTATTAAGATTTTCTTGTAAACCTTTTTCTTTCAGAATGTTGACTATCCAACATAGTCATAAGTTACTAAGCCTTATGAAATTTCCCATGTGGAGGATGTGAAAATAAATTTTGTTAAGGTTTTATATTACATTTTAAATTATCCAAAAATCTTAAATTATTATACCAATACCGTACAATTCCACTGTTTCATATTACTATTTAAATAACCAAAAAATCACAAATTACTATATCAATACCACAGAATTCCACTATAATTCATAAAGCGTAGTAACTAAGTTGTATTTGTGTCTAAAAAAATATGAAATTTTTAGCTCACTAAAGACCTACCTCATTGTTTGAAATCATGTAAAAAGAATGAAATTAGCACAATAAAACGTCAAAATGTCTGAGAAAACCACTATGGGGACATTGTGATCTGTTGATTGGTTATTCATGTCATATATAGAAGTGCATATAAAGGATCACTTCCAAAAATGGAAAGAAGTGGGCCACTGTATTTGATTCAATACAGGAGCAATATCTTAGCAAATAGAAAAGATCAGAGGTTCTTATTTCACATTCTAGCTTGTCAATATAGGTAGTTTGCATTCCTAGTTCATACAAAACTGTAGATTTTGTATTTTGACATCACAAGCATCTAACTTGAACCAGTGCTGCATTCAACATACCATGACACAAAAAATCTATGTTTAGCTGTTTTTTTTAATATTTACTTTTAAACTAAGAAATTAACTGATGTATAATACTAAAATTTGAATTATACAATTTGATACTAAACTTACTGACACAGATTCAAAAATAGTAGTTCAATAAAATTTTGAATGCAAGACAACAAATGAGATGACATGGCCTTTGAGAAGTGACCTGTTGCGATAGGGTTAAAATGTTAATCAAAAAAGAATATTTTCATATGCACTTGAAATTAAAAATTTTTTTTTTACATATTTTGGAAGTTACTGAGAACCTTATACTATGTTACACAGAAATAAACTCAAGAGTTATGACAATAATGAAGTTAACATTGGATCTCTACCTCAACCAGAGGTTCTTTGGTGGCAGGAAATGGACATAAAAAAAAATCTAGGATTTATGGTTTTTCTTTAATTTCGTGAAAAGCTACACGAGGGCTATCTGCACTAGCTGTCCCTAATTTAGCAGTGTAAGACTAGAGGGAAGGCAGCTAGTCATCACCACCCACCATCAACTCTTGGGCTACTCTTTTACCAACGAATAGTGGGATTGACTGTCACATTATAATGCCCCCATGGTTGAAAGGGTGAGCATGTTTGGTGGGACTGCAATTGGAACCCGTGACCCGCAGTTTGCGAGTCAAGCGCCCTAGCCACCTGGCTGTGCCGGGCCTAGGATTTATGAGATATTAGTGAAACTTATAAAGAATGTAACACACAATGCACTACAATAATTTACAGTTTCAGGTTGAACAAAAATTGATCAAGTTAAAACTGGCCACATCATTAGCAGAAAACTCATAATTGATAACAGTACTTCATGTTGTGTAATAGATGGGTTCCCTAAGCGATCCTTCTTTTCTGCCCATCACGTATCTGTTTTTCAGACCAGAGCCCAACAGATCTTCAGAAGATAACTAACCCCCTGCTGCTCATGATTGGAGCTTTGCTATTCTATGACATGTCATCATCAATCACCATTATTCCCTTGATGTTTGACTTGCAATCTATGCAGCTGCTGTGGATGCAATCACAATGGACATTTTGACAGACAATGTTGAGGCAAATCCATCTATCAAGCCTAAAAATGCTGTGGCAATACTCAAAAATAGATTTGGTGCTGACAAGGACAGTAGTAATAGTAGCAATGTTCTGCCAGATCAGAAGATCAAGAACAAGGTCTCCAACCTCAAACAGACAAAGAAAAAAGTTAACATAATTTGATTTGAGAATAAAGCAATAAATAAATAATCAATTTTGTGTGTGACCATTGCTGGTAAGGTAGTGTGACCACTCTGAAACCCTTTATCTTTCTGATTGCTCATAATTCCTCTTTCTAACTTCTGAAATTTTTGATGCTGGAAACACCTATAAATTTATATTTTCACAATTGTATAAGTTCATCCAATTTATGGTAAATGACAAGTGTTTATTTATGTGATTGAAGAAGAGTTTCTAACAGTAAAGAAAACAAGAGCATTAGATATTTCTGGTTATGTTACTTTTTTTTTAATGTCTTTAAAATTTCACAAAATAAAATTATAACTATTCTTTAAACAATGAAGCAGTGAAATCATAAGGGGGAAAAAGGTATAAATGGATGCCAACTAAAATGACTTTAATACAAAAGAAGGCTAAAATGATGACATTTTCTGAAGTCTCCTATCTTCCATTTAAAGACTTTCAGTAAAGTTCAGCTATCTGTGTAGTTAAACACTTTTTTTTTAAAATAGATAACAGATGGCTAGAGTTGACTTTTATACTTGAGGAATGTTAATTGTTTATTACAATCTATGCAAACATGTAAACCCTACCTGCTGCAGAAATACCAGGGATCCCTGCTGAATTACTTCCTCCTCCAGCTGCTGCTAATGCTGCTAGATTCTGAAGCATCATAGAATTGACACCAGCTGAGAATCAAGTATGCATGTTTACTGACCTAGTAAGGTATTTACTGAAGCAAATAGTACAAACTTCAATAAATATCATTAAGGAAGTTTTTAATTTGTTTGATCATCTCATTCAAGAGTTAGTGTTAAATTTTATATTGAATTAAATAGTTTTTAGTGTTTATAACAGAATCGAAACAAAAATATATAATAATTCTTGCTACTTAGTTCAAAAAATTTTCCATATGCATTAGCTGTTAAAATGTTATTTTAATTTGTTATTCTAATATATACTTAAATCATTTGTCGCTAACACACTTTGGGAAATGTCTAGCCTGAATCGTGCTCACACAGATTTGAAGAAAGCCACCAGGGATGTATATAAATGTTAATAGTTATTATTTTTTTTTTTTCATAGAAACAAGCAGAGGTTATAAACAAGTTGTTTACTTTATTTTAATAAATATTAATTTTAACTTTAGGCTTACAACCTTACTTAAACATAACATTTACTGCAGAGGTGTACTTTAGGCCTACAGTGAGTTTATACTTACCTAATTTTGAACATTAGACCTACCAGGACTTCAGCTTTAAACTACAATTATAAATTTGAAAAGAACAAGCTTATCTCTAATATAAAAAAAGGAACTTTCAATTAACTGAAATCACAGAGCTGTTTAGTAAAGATTGTGCCCATGAAAAATAATGGTTTTTGAAGAAGAAAGCAGATATTTTTGTGACTGTTAATGGTCGCCTATTTTATTTATAGATAGTAAGTTCTTTTTTCTTCTTCATACACAGTAAACTGTGAAATGGCTGATAACAAAAATATTCCTGAATACACTTAAAGCAAAATTTTTACAAAGAAGAATTAGCTTTTAATTTTTGTTAAATGAAACAGCAAGCTTACGAGAGAAGTGAGTTGGGGTGTCTTGTTGTCACTGTTTTTTTTTTATACATAAAGTGCTTGAATCTAAATTTGTTTTGGCTACCAGATGCTTGGGGATTGGGGGGGAGGGAGGGAGGTGAGAAATACAAGTTCAATGCTCTTAACAGATACAACTAATCAGATGATGTGAATTTCCAGAAAGTATTCCGTTTTTGATTTTATATTTGTTTATATACTACTAAACTTAAATATATGTATGTAAAAATTACATTTCATTCTTAAAACTATTTGAAAAAGTTGTTCCAGTTTTTAATTTATTAAAATATGTGTGAAAGAAATGTATAATAATATACCAGGAAAGGCTTATTGATTATTATATTGTGGTTTTTCCATAAATATTGTGCTTGCAGAAAGCTTTTTGTAGAATAATTTTGTTTGAAATGTGTCTGAATATTCATAATTATCCTGAGTGACTAACTGGCAGAAATTGCAGCATCTTTTGACGATCACTTGCTAAGAATTAGAACCCACTGGTTTTCAATTGATGCATAATCATAAAAAAAACTCAACACCGTGTTGTTATTAATGTTGTAATATGCGAGTTGAAAATTAAAATACAGCTGCTATATAAATGATGTAAAGTTATACAATCAGGCTACATACAGAAAAATATTTACATTCTGATTTAGAATGTAAACATTGTAAAAAAGTTCATGTAGGACATGAAAATCTACACACAAACAGTTTTCTATTTGATAGTGGCATAACATGAGAACATACCACCTATAGGGACAGTACAAGAAGTCATTTTCAGAAACAACCAAAGTTTTTGGTGAATTTAAAGTGGCAAAAGAAATTTCAAATTTCTAAGGTTCTTAACTGAAGTACTCGACTACTTATTAAGAGAAATGTACAGGGACAGACTTGTGCTAGGAACTCCTTAACCCACAGGAAACTACAATAGAAGACTAAATACATATAAAATGACAGTTCCAAAATACACATACAAGCTCTTTTTTAACACAATAAAAGCTCAAACACGTATAATATTAAGCCAACCACCAACACAATTATAAATAAATTTATTTTCATGCAGCTCAGAGGCCATAAGCTGAGAGGTGATAAACAGAATGACAGAATATGACAGTTTTATTCCATTTGCAATTTAACTTCAAACTCATGGTTTCTTTATCACACTGAGGTATCAGGTCTCAAGTTCATCAGGATCAACAAAGTACCCTTCTGTCCTACTCAAAGAATTGTTGATCAAATAACACTTACCTGATAATGACTAGTAAAAGATATATACATATTTATGCTATCTGCTTAACCAAGCAACAATAAAGATGCTAAATTTGCTATCAATTCAACTTTAGTTGCTGTAATGGGTGGGGAAACAATAAGTTAGGCACCAGTTCAATGGATTATAATGCAAAACAATGTATACTGACTAAAGCATGAACCTTTGTTTACTGAAACTGTGCCCTACCAAAAAAACTAAAACAGTTCAAAGTTCATAAAAATTAGTTTCTTTTCTGGCTGAAGTGTCACAATTTACTAGAAATTTTAAATATTGTTTGTTTGTTTGTAGATAAGCACAAAGCTAAACAATGAGCTATCTGTACTCTGCCCACCACAGGTATAGTAACCCGGTTTCTAGCATTTTAAGTCTGCAGACATACTGCTGTGCCACTGGGGTGTCTTTTTTTTTTTTAAATTACATTGTTATAATAAACAATCTTTATTACAAGAAGATTGCAAGTTCACACATTTGACTCATTCCTGTAAGACCCACTTTATCTTTAACATAAACATTCATTGTTAAATATAATTAACTTCATTATTCTTTTTTGTGGGGAGGGGGAACCAAAGTAAATGTATTATCACTTTCATACATTTAAGGGTACCATTTGTAGAAGTTAATATCCAGGTAAATTTCCATCAATGGTTTTATAATACAGGATGATTACAGTCAGTATGAACTGTAACAATTTGTAGGGCCAACTGTGTAAAGTACATGCAGTGTTTGTATATGTGCATAAAAGATCATGGAAGTGTTTTTCACTAGTTTCAGAATATGGCACTAGGAGTATTGTTACAAAATCCATTATGACAACAGTATTGTATATTTTATTACATAAAATCTCTACAGGGATAATCTGAACACATTTCATAACAGAATAGTGAAAATACTGACATATAAACAAAAGGCGTAAAAGTTGGAAAGAAACAGACAAGTAATATTTTTCTTTATAAATGGTAAACAAAAAGGTACCTTTCCTACATATTTTACTGTACACAAAATATCAGTGTAAAATAAAGTGTATAACATGGTTCACATACAACTTGTAGTAGGTATTTTCTTTTACTCTATATGAACCATTTATTCATAAATTAAGACAGTTTCTGTGAGAAATTACACATATTCCTTTTAATGGATCATACAATAATTTTTGCTTCTAGAAGAAAAGCAACTGAAGTTAAAAATCTTGGGTTATTTTGAGACGAATTGAAATTGGCAATAAACTACAAAAAAAAAAAAAATTGAAAAAATTATGGTAAAAAGTGGCAATGACTAAGATAAAGTAAAATTACAACTACAGTGTAGGTCCTTTTAATATTAAGTACATTTACAATTTGTTCATAAAACAAATGCAATGAGGATGAAAAAGTTATCTTAGATACTCTAGCATTTTCAACAGATACACTTGTCAAAGGCTAGAGCTCTTAAAGTTCAACCTTTTTCAGTTAATCCTTTAGTATACAAGTCCATAAGTATATATATTAAGATTTTGTGATAAAAGCAAGCAAAAATACTGCATGAACATTAAATGATCATATTCAAAATAAACAATTTTTTAATTCATCTTATTTTTACAACAAAAAACAAAACAAAAACATATGTTCTTTCAGATTGAGCATGAAGTTTTTGATACTGTATTATTATCAAGCATATTATGAATATGAATAACAAAAGATTTATATGCTAAAAATATTTGCAAGAAACTTTAGTGCTAAGCCCTTAACTCTATATTTACATATGGGTGGGGGGTAAAAATAGACATGTTGCAACCTTTTAGAGTTACATTCAAAGTTTAATCAAACAGCTATATTATCAATGAGTGTCAATAAAACTGGACATCAAAACGTCGTTTATAATTCAAATTTAATATTATACAAATTCTAATTTAATTTAAAAAGGGAATATTTAAATAAATGCTAAATCTTCACTTCTCTTTGTCATGTGATATCTTTCTACTCTGAATTCTCCTTTGTTTTTAGATTTTCTTTCATCACTATGTAGGTTTTAGAATGTACGTCTTTTTTTTTTATACACAAAGCTACACAATGGACTATCTATGTCTGTGCAATGTCCACCATAGGTACCAAAACCCAGTCTTTAGTGTTATAAGCCTTCAGACTTACCACTGAACTACTGATGGGCCCACCAGTTAAAAACACCAACAGGCCAGAATTTAAAATAATAATCTCCCTCATTCTTTGTTTTCTGAGACATTAATCAATTTGATACACCCAACAAAGATTCTTCTTCAAACTCTTCATGCTTTTGAAATTACTTATTTACTTTGCTTATTTGTTAATGGTATACATGTTTATAACCAACAGAAAAGTCATTTTATGAACCATGTGATTATGTTGACTTTATGCTAATATATTTTGGTAAAAAATGCCATTTCCCTATCAAATTTTATTGGATGTAGACTGATGTTTGATAATTTATGAAATTTTTAACCTATCTATAGGTTAGTTAAGAAGCAAGATAAATTATTGTAGGTTTGAAGCATTTTGTTTTAAAATTCATATTTGAAAGCTACGTGAACAATGTTTTTTGACAAACAAAATAGTCTGCTAATAATGCAGTCTTAGTGAAGTATCTCCTAAGTATAAGTAGGCCTATAAGCAACTGTAAGTTGTAAAAATCTTGTTTTCATGTAATATTTATTATTTTTGACTATATACATTTAATGAAATTTCCTTTTTTGCCTTGAGAGGCATGCAAGGAACATACATAGTTAGAAGTTCTATAATGTAACCTGAAATTTTATTTACCCTAAACTGTCTGCACTCCCACTAGGTGATTTATTACTTTTTGCAGTAGTTCCTTGGTTCACAGAGCAACAAATCTATAAAATTAAGTGAAAGCAGTTGCGAAAAGTTAAAAGGCCCAAAGCTTTTAAGATAATTGTAATTGTCTGTTATAACCTGCAGTCATTTTAATAAAGAAAAAAGGTATTTTTAATTTTATTTCATATTTTTCAACATTAGTTACAGTTAGTGTAGGGAAGAGAAAATAAGATAAAAAGTGTAAAGTTTTATAGAAAAAAGTTTTGACATTCATTTAGAAGGTTCTAGAAGTTATGCAAATGAAATATGAAACTTTAACAAAAAAGTATTTTATTCTTAATAGGAAAAATCATCTTGTTCTTAGACTAGTCAAAGCCTGAGTCAGTAAATTCATAGACACATTTTTTGTGTACAACATACTTGTATTAATTATTACCATACTTTCTGGATCATAAGACTCCATTTTTTTAGTTTCATGGTCCGAATGTTACCCTAGTCGTAATGTCTTCAAGTAGGAGAAAAACTGGTGAGCTTGAAGCTTTGTTCTAAGTCACTACACATCATTGTGCAACATCACAGTTTGGTAGCATGGCACATACCAAATAGCAAGTGTTTCTGAGTGGTGAACAATAATCAGTTTGTTGTATATTTGTTTTGTAAAATCTGTGTGATTTCAATGGATACAATGGTCTGCTTATAAGAATGACAACAGTGATGAAGACTTTTTGGACATCTACAAATAATAAAACTTCATGCTAAATTGTTATTACAGTGTGCTGTACTGCTGTTTTTCTTATGGAATGGCAAATGTAATTGTTAAATATATATGTAGTGAAATATTTTTTTCTATTATTTCCTTTTAAAATACTGATGCACCTTGAGGTCTGGAAAATACAGTAAAAGCTTACCAAATTAGATTTAAAATCAAATTTAATTTCTTCAATAGGGTAGGAATTATAGTTTTTCAGATTTTCCAATAAATCTAATTTTTTTTGGTATCAGGGGTGTTTTATCAGTTAAAACTAAAAATCAGAAGTCCTAAGTAGGGGATAAGTCCAAATGACCTACCCTGTACATATACAGGGTGGTCCAAAATTCTTTCCTATTTTAAAAGGAAATACAATGGTGCAATTTCAACACCTTGTAGCTCAACTCAAACAGCTTTTACTGACATGCAAGTATACTTCTACATGTCCACCATTAGTGGCTCTCAGAACATCTAACCAATATTCGATTTCAGTCAATGTTCGATGCAACATGTCCCAGTTACATTGGGGATGGCATCAGTTATCCTGGCTTTTAGCTCCACGATGTTTGGTATAGGTATACAATATCCTTAACAAACCCCCATACCTCTTTCCTGTACTGGCATCTGTAATTACATTGCACCACAGTCACTGACTTGATCTCTGCAAGCCAAACAATATGTTGAGCCTTTTTTTGCACAGTTGCCATTTTATAGGGTAACACTACTCACTGGAGTGAAAAAAAAACCTGCTTGAATTGGGCTACAAGATGTTGAAAATGGCATGGTTGTATTTCCTTAGCTATTTAGTTACTAAATTTTAAAAATAGGAAAGATAATTCTGTACCACCCTGTAGTATTAACCGGTAATGATACAGTACTTTTTGGAACTTGAAGTATCACATGTGAAAAATTGTATTCATGAAAGCAACAAAAGTTTTTACATAAAACAATTAGTTTAAAAGTGATGACTGGTCAGGTCACTATGAATGAAAAATAAATCCTGCAATGAACCAGATGAAAGAATAAATAAATTTAGAAAATCAAAATGAAAACCTGCAGATAAAGCAAAACTAACCTGTGAGAAAATATTACTTTCATAATGATATGGACTGTAATAACAGCAATTGTTGTTTAATAAAATTTTGAGTATTAGTATGCAGTTCAGACTTTCCAAATCTGAAAATCATATAATAGTATTGCCTTTAATAGTGCAGTGAATAGGCCTTTCACAATTACATTGTAGTAATAAGCATTACTTACCCTCATTGTAAAACTGTATTCACTTGTTGTAGTATTACGCTTTGAAATACAATAACTTAAAACTTGGGGCTTATGCTTAAAATGAATGCATTTAAAATAAAATGCCATAATAATTGTCCTTTCATTGTTATTTTTCATGAATATTTCTAAACAATATATTTAATATTTTGCATGATATTCGATTTTTCGGATCCACTGTTGAAACTAAAGTTAGACTTGTATTTTGCAGATAGCCAAAATCAATTTTGGACGGAATTATAGCTCATTAGCCTTAAGTGCATTATGTTCAGTAACTGCACAATAAAGACTGATCCCTATAACACTGCTCTAGAAAAATTTTGACAGAACTGTTACATTACAGAAAAAAAAAAAAGTAGAGTAACATCTTACATGTAATAGGCAAAATGTGTGCACATATATTTAAAAACTTCAAAAATTTACATATTTACAACAAATATGAGAAAATGGCTTTTAAAACTATTAGCTAATACCATTATATGTTTAAGAGCAAAGTTTGAGCTCACCACTGTTACTGCTGTTATTAGAGGCCTGTGCAGCAGCAAGAACAGCCAGTTGTTGTTGTACATTTAAGGAACCAACACCTGCATAGTTAGAAAAAGATGTTGAAAATTTACTGAATTTTATTTTCAAACAAGTGAATGCTCTTTTGTGTAATGATCAAGTTCAGATACTTTATGTATATAAAAATCATTTTAACAAAAACTGGTAAGATATTGCATATTAGTACATAAGGTAAATACTCCTAATTTATCAATATCCATAATATAGTCTACATGATTTCAAAGCATGTAAATACAGAGTAGGGTAAAAGTGACTATACAGTTGGTACTAAAGAAAACATTATAAGGACAAACTAAATAAAACTATGATCTTAATGAAACTACTGTATAATCACTCTTGCCCCCACCCTGTATATTAGCCAGAAATAGCCAGGTAAAATATGTCTGCATATATAATTGAATTAACTTTCACCATGTTTTTTTGTGGTTTAATTTTAAGATATGGAACATTTTATAGGAAGTATTTTCAACAAAGAAAAAGATCCCAAAATTGTTATTGAATTTCAAGCAGAGCTATTTGAAGGCTATTTGTGTTAGACATCCCTAACTTTGAAGTGATAGATTAGAGGAGGCAGCTAGTCAACCACACACTACCAACTCTTGAGCTACTCTTTACAATAGGGATTGGCTTTCATTTTATAATATCCCCACAGCTGAAAGGTCAAGCATGTTTAACAAGAGGTTTTAATCCCATGACTCATAGATCGAGTTGAGCTCCCTAATAACCAGGCCCAGATTTGAAAGATCTGATAATAATTTATACCACCTAAGTAATGACGAACAAAAAACTGCTGTGTAGATAAATAGGTAATTCAACTATTATTTAATTTATACAATTAAATGTATCTCAGGTAAAGATTTTTTTATACAAAATAATACATCCAAACAAACTATACTCTGAACTTGGTTATCTGTGGGATTAGACTTATTTTTTAAATGACAAAAAGGAACTGTAATTAAAATCTTAAGTTTTTCATCTTTAATAATTTTATAAAATATATGTAATTAGCAAAAGAAACAATAATTTACTACTGATACATACAATAATGGAAATTTTCTTATATCAAGTGATAACTCATGAACTACTGATCATCTTTGACAGGTTGTTTAGGCAGAGTATTCATAATGAATCTAAACTTTTGAAACTTAGATTCACAACTACTGATCAGTTTAAAATGCATCTTATGGGTACTGTGTAATTCAACTTTAGATTTCTGATTTGTTTACTAAGAAGAAAAGTTAAGATTTTACTAGATTTTAACTTTTGACACCTTGATTTTACCTATACTTACCTTCAAGGTTAAACCAGAATATTTATGTTACTTTATTCATTAGGGTTCTATGTATACTGTATAGATAGTTTTGTCCATTGACAAATTAAGTGACAGAAAATTTCAATAGGGATATTTGATTTGAAAATGATATTATTCCCATTGCTTGCATTCATCTGCAGGGCCTGCAATGTCATAATGTGGTAAAACTTATTTGAATAAAAATATTTCAGGATAAATTTAAAACAACGAGATAGAATTTTATCTTAAGGTATTAATTAATATTTTTCAAAATCAATTAAAAACTGTCAATATAATTTCTATGGAAACAATTGTTTTATATGTACAAGTTACAAATCAAAGTCAGTACAAGTCAATTTATTGTTTTAATTAGGCATTTTTTTGCTGGTGTGCTTCATGTGTTATTGTCAGCCGACTTTTAATGACACCTAGTTCATATCTTTATCTATTTACAACCCTAATGAATACTGATGATTAACTTTCATGTACTTTGAACACGTATGCAAGCAGTTCAAAACACATAGTCATTGTCTCTTAAAATCAGTGATTAATATATTTGACACCCTATGATTAAATTGCAACAAAATTAGAAAAAATTATATTTAGATTTCTTATTGTTTAAAAATTTGAAAATAAATGAAACACATTTGTAATTTACCAAAAAGCATGTGACAACAAACAAATTCTGACCAATATATGATTGAGGGTGACCTCATTTTGACAACTACCAGATTTAAACTAAAATATCATGGAGTTGCATATAGTCACGTTAATTTTGGAAAAATGTCACTCATTTTCTGCAAACAAATGCTAGTTAGGTATTTGAATTCAACTCCAGAAAGATGGGATGCATATTTCATGGCACATGTATTTTGTAAATTAGTATGACAAATGGCTTCTGATCGATGACTAATATATTGTATTGTCTATCTGTCTGTCTGTCTCTCTCTCTCTCTATATATATATATATATATATATATGCATTTCCCAATGGCCAGATTAATTTAGTTTATTATATCCAACAGATAGAACCTCTAGAGCCAGCAGAGAACGATAGGATAGAGCCTTGACAACCAAAAGCTCTATATGCTGATGACAAAGAGGAAAAGACTCCCTGACTTGGATGGGAATTAAAGAAAATTTCTAAATGAATGAAATACTGAGTACGGAAAATAATGGATTTCTCTACCTTGATCAACCAAACTACGCTTGTTGCCTCCTCAAGAAGGAAACAAGTGTTACTAAAGGCTGAAAGGGATGGAGCCAGAAGTCCATATAATGACGAGTCCTGAGACCTAAAGAATGAAGATGTCGAGTGACTTCCCTGACACTACAACAAAACACATAAGGTGCTGAGACAAGCCCAAACAGAAGAGCCAGAAACTGAAATATTTGTTCCTCATGAACAAACTGATGAAAACAATGGGAGGAGGGAGGTACGGGTACATGAAGATATGCATCTGCCAAGTCGAAGTTGGTCATCTATAGACCCAACCCAAGACTCTAAAGAATCAGAGAGACCTCCAAGCACAGTATCACATAAGAATGGAGCAGCCTGTGCATCCCTGAGGGAAGAAAGGGTGAGACAAACCCCCACAAGCAGCACATCTCTCCACAACAACAAATAAGCCAGATAAGCAGGGAAACGGCAGACAAAGAGAGCCTTGCTAAAGTTGACCACAAAAGTGACCCAAATGCCCCCGAAAATTTTTTGGGAGAATGAAGAAAGGCCTCGGATAAAAGGTGCATAGAAGGGATGAAACAAAATATTAGTGAGACGAATCCTCAAAAATTGGGCCTGAAGAAAGTAGACTGAAGCCTCAGGATTAGAACCCCAAAGAGGTAAAAGTGGACTTAAATGCTGAGAATCCAAATAAGGACTTACACATTGATGAAAAGTCAAAGCATGTTGTTCAGAAACACATGGGGATCAAGGCATACTAAACCCTGAAAGAAGATGTGACAAAAGTTACTGCACATAACAGGGAAGGGGAAGCATCACAGGAAACAAGAGAAACATGCAAAATACTGCAAACCTAAGTAATCAACTGAAGGAATGGTATTGAAGGACAAACTTACTCCAAATGAGCCTGAGATGAAAGCATAGCAAATGAAAAAGCAGGAAAACATGGTCAAAACCATCATCTTCCTGCACATCATTATCAGCTCAAAGAGGTACCCCCATGTGGAGAAAATGATGAACCAGGCCCCATGTAGGAAACTAACTCCTGTCTAAGTAAGGCTTGCACCTCATTAGCATCGATTAGATGGCTTGGGTGATAGGATAAAGCACGTCTCCAGACAAAGCAGGAGCTGAAGTGATAGTAACATTATACTTTGAATTCAAAATTTGCAATAAGTGACAAAAAAAAAAAACCTTAAAAAAAAGAGTAATCAGAAAATTGCAATCAAACTAACTGAAAAAAAAAAAAAAAATCAATGTAGGCATGAAGTGAAGTATATCTCCACACAAGAAATTCAAAAGCAAGCAAGAAATATGTCTGACTCAGCATGCCAATCGAGAAAGTGAGGAACATGAATATCAGGAAGCCTGAGGACAAGTCAGTTGAAGCTTTACCACAAAGAACACAAAATTCCATTATGACCCTAAGTCACAGGAGCCCGGAGGACTATAGGGAGGTACTACAAAGAGTTCAACACTTAAGTGTAGTAAAAGACAATGCTGAAAAGGGGTGTGGCCCTTATTGAGGAGTATAATGCCATCATAATAAAGAAAGAACAGAATTTTTCTTTCAAGCTGTGCAAGGTCAAATAAGATACTTTCCCAACAGCAAAAGGGACTAACCACACCAAAATCATATAATAAAATACTTTAAATAAGTCAATTATAATATATAATGGAACTAGGCCACTGCATTTTAGAACTTTAACCTCATTGAGCAATTTCAAAACATGGTCCAAAATGGATGAAGTTTGGGATTTAATGTTTTTTTATATATTGGAACAAAATTACAGGGTGAGAGCTAATTTTACCTGCAAATTCAAACTACCCTAATAAGCATACATATTTTGTACATGCATACTGTATGGTAAGTCACAAGACGTACATGTATCTATTTGTTCTACAGTAATAAAAAAACCTTCTACCATAAAATACAAGTGTACAAGTTTGAAATTTGAGGGTATCTAAGTTATCAAATTAATGTTGTATATTTAGGCACATTCCTGTTGTAGGAATATTAATGACAAAAAACAAATTGTTAGTGACTGTCTTTCGAAAAGAATGAATACATTAAGCAAAACTATGTGGATTCAAATGAGGATGAAGTCTCAGTGGAAAAAGAGTCTATTCAATGTGATATATATATATATATGGATCCTGGCATCTATCAGGTTATTAGAAGCAGTCTTTCCTAAGTCAAGAAGATATTTCATAATTCTCATATAATAAAAAAAAGTCTGTTCTTTTTTTTGTTTAAGAAAACTATGCATTTCTGAACTTTTTATTTATATTAGCAGAAAAGTTTTTATACCATAACATTCACCTCCAGAAGATTGTTGAAGGTTGTTGAAATTTCCAAAGGTACCTGTCTGGGCAGCTTGATGAAGAAGCTAACAAAAAAGCAAAACAAACTGTATAATCAGTTTATAATATACACTATAAGTAATATACACACATATATATTTTGGTATTTATACACATATATCTGTCATTACTCTAACCATATTATAAAGACTAAATTGTACATGTACATAAAGCTTTCTAGCAAATTGTTTCACTAGCTTTAAACCTACTACACTTTATACCACAGTAAACCAAGTACATATATTTCCAATCTCTTCTCGTGCACTAATTTCAACTGACATTTACCCGTTCCTTTATCTACAACTTCCTTATTTCTATAATAATAATAATAATATAAAAAAAACAACACACACACACACACACAACATCTTAAAGAAGATGAAAATACAAAACGAATTACTAGACAAGAATGGATAAAAAATAAAAGAATTAGGCCTCAGATAATTAATTCAATAAACTCCTATTATGAAGTAAAAATGAGTAAGTCCTTTGGCATAACCTTACAGAAGCATTTCTTCACTCCTTCCTTTAATAAAAAAAAATAAATAAAAAATTATCAGATTTATTGGTAAAGTGAGAAAGCCTTGTGCCATTTTAATGATCTTTTTTTTTAATATTAAAAATTTCATTAAATCAGTGCTTTCCAAACTTTTTAAGCTTGTGGCACATATAAATACATCTGTATGGTTGACCTAGTGGCAACCCCCTGACTAAGACAGGCAAAAATTACTGTTATATTGTGTATCAAGGAGAAAATAAATCAACCATAAAATTTAAAAAATGTATTAAATTGATAATTAATTTACATTACTAACTAAAAATTACTTAATAATTGCAAAAATTCCCTGGCACACCTGAGGCCTTTCCACTGCACAATTGCTACCAAAACAAAACTGTTTATATATATAACATTTAAAAAATCTACTTTTAATTAATGATAATTTTGACTTCAATCATCTGCACATTGTATGCAGGGTTGATATTTTCCATTTCAGAATAGTCAGACTGACATTAAAAAATTATCACAATTCTTAACTCTTTCAATACAAAGTCAGCAAATGTGATGACCTCGTAACCATTTTGTGCTTGTTATAGTTTTCATGCTATAACTTTTAAATTAGTGAGCAAATGTTAACGAAATTTGGCAGATTATCAGGAAACATTACAATGCTTTCATACGCAAAATATATAATTTTTATATTAAGTCATGAGGTTTGTAAAGCAATGTTTTTTTCATGCTTTTCTTTTTCTGTTCACATCTTGTCTATCTATTATACACAGTAATTTTCAGTTTAAGATTAAAAATACTTTTATGCATCAGAAAATTTTGAAATGTCACATGCAAAATCTTTATAATGTCTGAATAGTTACCAAATGTTTCTCAAGAAAAAATTTTATATTTTATCTGTTATTTTCATAATTAATCTCTATATGGGTCCAGTAGATTTGAATAATCTTGCAACCACCATAAAAAATTAGGAAATAAACATAAATTATGCCTTTTTGATTCTAGAATGAACACAAATTATAACATGAAAACATAAATGTTTAGAAGAAATAGCTTAAATCTCATAATTTTATACAATTATATATATATTTATTATTTTTACCATATTGACCTTTCACCCATTCCTGGCTAACAATACAGAAGTTACAATGACAGGGCTCATGTGCACTCAAATTACCATAACAAATAACAAAACTGACCTTTGGTCTGTACAAAGTAACATGTCTTGGCTGTGTTTTGTAAAATACAGTCACTTTTCAATTATTATGCATTATATATGTATACAGATTATTGCTATTTTGAAATAAGTTCTTAAACATTTTTCCTGAAACATAGAACAGTAAATAAAGAAGTAAAGCAAACAATTATCTTTTCTAGTTATGACCTTTGAACTTGGTTGCTACTTGATGTAGGTTGCTAAGCTTTTAAAAATTTTGCACATGGAGGATATGAAACAAAGTATTTTTTTAGGTTTTATATATACATTGGAATAACTAAAAATCATAAATTACTACATAAATACCACGGAATTCCACTATAATTTATCAAACTTAGTAACTAAGATATATTTTACTCTTAAAAAATATGAAATTTTGAGCATACTAAAAAAGACAACCTACCTCATTGAAATCTTGATAAGAGGCTCTTATTTTATATTCTAGCTTGTCAATACCTGCAATTTGATTTCCTAATTCGTACAAAACTATAGACTTAGTATTTTGACTTCACAAACATCTAATTTGAACCAGTGCTGCACTGAACATACCACATTACACAAAATTGGATATTTATCAGTTTTTTAATATTTACTTTAAATTAAGAAATTTAGTAATGTATAGTTCTAACATTTGAATTATAATCTACAGTTTGATACCAAGCTTATTGACATAAAATCATGAAATAGTAGTTCAATAAAAGTTTGAATGCCAGTTAACAAATGAGATGACATGGCATTTCACCTATGACCCATCTCGAAAAGGTTAATACCAAACAGAAAAATACCAGCTAAAATAAAACAAAGTTATAAGTTATGGACCAGTATACTGGAAAATAGTATCAATTTTCTTTAAAACTAATTAATGGACAAGTGGAATACATTAAGGTCTATTAGGACCTTTGCTTTTCTTATTTCCATTACTGACACTGATGAAGGAATAGTCAATAAACTGCTCAAATTTGCTAATGATATTTAGGTCTTGGGTATTGTTGGTTTTGAGGATGCTGCTTTACAAAAGGATAGATATCTGACGAGTTTGCTGAATAAATGACAAATGTCATTTAAATAAATGCAAGGTAATGTATGTGGGTTATCATGATTTAAATTATAAGTATATTGATGGTCATAACCTCGATAGTGTTAGGCAAGAAAAGGATCTTGGTGTTTTGGATGATCAGTCTTTACTTAAGCCATTGTAACAGTGTGCTCTTGCTAACGGTAGAGTAGACTGAATTCTTAGTTTTATTTTCAGAGACACTGAATACAAGTCTAAAGATGTTATAATTTCATTGTGTAGATCACTGGTTACACCTTATTTGGAGTACTGTATTCAGTTGTGGGCTTATCTTAGAAAGGACATTGGATTGTCGAGAAAAGTTAAGAGAAGGGGTGGTAGCATGATATCTATGGTGACAAAGTTGTCATACAACTACAAGGACAGGTGAAAATCTCTGAAATTATTTTCTCTTGGGAAAAAGGAAGAGCTAAAGGGGATATAATTATGGTGTTTGAGAATGTTAAGAGATAGTGTTGATGCATAAGTTTTTTCCATAGTGAGAATGGTAGGACTAGGGAACACAAATATATATTTTGGCAGAGTAGGAGTCATCTTCAGAAAAAAAAAAAAATTTTACTTTACTATTTCTAACAAGGTAGTAGGCCTTTGGAATTGGTTACCCTCAGATGCAATGGTAACGGTAAATTTTAAGGAGTTAAAGAAAAAGCTTATTAGTTATTTAAATAGTATTCATAAGGGCAGGAGCATCGAGAGCCAGCCTAGGCTTCAGGGTCAGTAATATCATCAGACCCCCACTTTCATTCTATTTAGTAACTTTTGCTGATTTTTTCATATAAGAAATTTAGGTTACAAATTTTTTCATGAATCTATGAAAAACCAGTAGCCATTTTAGCTCATTAAGTAGTATTCATTTCTAGTTAGCTTTGGAATATCCCACTGACAGGCCTCTCAACAGGACCTGGGCAGCTGCACCTCCCTTTTGTCAGCCTTGGATAAGGGCTGCCTTTAAGTTTTTTTTCTTGTTATAGTCTAGTTTAGTGAATGGGACAGTTTAGATCCTTGACCAACAGGTCCTTTGTTGTCTTTAAATGTTATACTATAAATATAATCAAAGTTATGCAGTGCAATAAAGTTTTCTCCACTTTTTAATAAACTAAGTGGGTTAAAAAATTCTAATCTTTGTTGTTAAATTTGAAGGACTTTTAAATTTTATATCCGTTTCTTAGTCACAGTTACAACTTACAGAGGCATTTAGATTAGTTATGTTAGAACCATGTGGGCGATTCTGTGTAGTACCATAATATTACTAGTATTGGTATTAATAACATATACTATAGTACTAGTAGTAGTACTCGTAGTCATACCCTGATTGTATCATATTGTGTTGTACAGGAAAATTTTGTGATATTAGACTACAATAATTTCACATCACATACGTTACAAGAAAAAAACTTTCTACCTCTGCTCTGCCTTACTCTTGCTGTCTTATTAATGATAATGTCTTTGTATTTTAACAATATTACTAGTACTTAGGCTTAGCTGCCCACGTTAATATCATTATTAAGTTTATTCTTTTCAAGTTGATGCAGTTAGTCTTAGCCTTAGCCTTGGATAACGTAACGGCAGGAAACGTACTGATACTGTGTAAAATAAGGCTTAGCCTTTACTTTAGCCAGTCAGTCACACAACTTCACGGCAACGTCATCATCTTTACTTCACTGTTCATATCACGCCACAACTTGAATTTTCTCATATTTCTGTCTTTCACTTCAGAAAACATAAGTTCAATTTCAAATCACCATGTAATACATCTGTTAAAGTAAAATGAAAAAGAGAAAATAAGAACTTATACATGGTAACTTGTAAACTTACCGCTAAATATTGTGGCGTCAAAGAACTAACATTTCCGAAATTAGCTGTATTCCACAGGTTAGCCATTATCTGCTGCTTTCGTTTTTGATCTTTTTCTTTTTGGGTATCAGCAAACTTCACCACTAGAGGACTGCTACAACCCTACAATATGATATATTATTATTAAACATACTCTTTCACCATTTACTATGCAGTTTTCAACAATTAACTACAAGCTTTAACTGATAAATTAAAGCTAGGAAAAAACAAACGAAAATAAACAAATATTTTTTTTGTTTTTGCACTGGTATTCATGTTTTTCTTTACAAATCAAGAACAGCTTTTATTATGAAAGAGGTACGTCAAACACTATAGAGGTATTTCTTGTCATTATATCTTTAAAATTGTTGTTTTTTTTTATTAAAGTTTGTTAAACGATATAAAATAATTTTGATTTTCTTCGAACATTCTGATGAGCTAAATATTCATATTAAGCATTGCCAAAGATTGCTAGGTTTTGATGACCAGTGTAGTGCATTTGTTGAGGCCTTATACATTGATTATAGTTTTATTAAAATCTCGATTTTAACATTTGATTATACATCACAAGCTTCATTATTACATGTATGAACAGAAAGCGTTTAAAACTGTACTAAGATCTAGACCTAGATAATGAAATCATCAACGAGACAGTTAAAAAAATATAAAAATTGTAACTGTGCATTTTACACACCAGTATATGGTTCAGTATTTCACTTCAGTGAAACAATGATTTGGGGCCTCAAAATCCTCACTCTCAAAGATTCGTGAATTCTATATATCAGTGTTTAGTGCCCATTACAAATAAATTACACATTTGGTTTATAGTAATTAAATTTGACGATTGAATGTGCTATCTAGAAAATTATTATTATGGTAATAATAACTGAAATTATATATATACATTGAGTGGTCACAGGTAAATAGACACCTAATTTTTCGTCATTAACTGATTTGTGCTAACTAATTTGTGTTCAC